CTGGTCTGACTGGTGCGGCCCCATCCAGAGTTTGGCTTGTCGGCCGGCGGCCGGGACGGGTTCGCGTGAAACTGGCTCCTGTCGCGGAGTCACCCCTGGTAAAGGCTGCCCTACCGCAATCCCTGATAAACCTCCGAAAACAGCATATTCGGCACCACTCGGATAACCAGATTTTGTGGGAACCCCAGCAGAACCTCTGGGTCACGGTGACTGACAACGACTTTGTTTGGCCCGTTGGCATTACAGCCCAGTTAGTTACTGGTACGTTTTCTGATACTCCTACAGAGTTCCGTTACCTGCGCTTTTGTCGTTTACGTTTGCCTTCAAACATAAATAAATATATACTTTTATTGTGAGTTTAAATGAATAAAGGCCAAGCCTCGCGTCGCAGGGATTCGCGTGGGTAAAGGAGAAAACTAGTCAAGCAACGGAACTGTTTGTTTTTGTTCTGAGCTTTCAAACTTGTACATAAGTTCATATTCAGAGCTAACAGCGGCAACAAAAAAGCAATCAATTAAACGTGACGCACGTCTGGAGGCGACTCCGCAGGACTCTGTACGCCGATTGATTGAGTTCCCATCCATGGATCGGGCCTCAATTAATTCTCGGCTCGTGTTGTTTCCGGCGTGTTCTTTTACGAGTTCTAAATCTCAGCACAATAAAAAAAACTATTTCGGTTCTCGATCAGACTTCTCCTTTACCCGTTGGTTGAAATTCCTGAAGAATTTTCCATTTTGTTTTTTTTTACGATAAGGTCGAACATGCAAGCAGGAGTGTTAATTAGTAGCATGAAATTTTGTCCTTGGGAAGACGCTTACCTGCGGATGAAGATGATGACTCTTTTTCAATTAGCAGTTGCTGGGAAACTGTGTATTTTACTGTAAAATGCGCCCGTCAGATTTAGCGTTCATCATTGTCCCAGTGAGATTTCGGCCTACAAGAATGATCGCCTGACAGTCTGGTGCCCCAGTGCGCTAAGCCCCCCGACTCCCTCATTTGCCTGCCCGTTTCACTGACTTACTTTCTGACAACGAGGCCAGAATTTAATTTAGTAAAGAAAATAAAGAAATTGCAGGATTATTAACAATCCCTTGCCAAACGGTGTTTTAAAATCAGCACCTTGCTACCAAAAGGCCCTCCAGTGTGATTTGTGTAATGCGAAAAATCTGACAGTCATACATTTATTCCAGACAAACCCAACTCTTCTCAGACATCAGGAAATACCTTGGTAAAGGTCAGGTATATGACCCCCTAAACAGGATATGCGCACGGGAACCGCCTGCAATGCAGGGATTCGGTTAAGCTTTAAGCTTCTGCTAGGATTACGGCAAGGACCCAGGAATATTAACCCTGCCTGTGATTATGCCCAGGGACAAATTTATTATTTTGTCGGCGCGTTTCTATTATCATGGTTTGTTTAGGGGGCCGTATAATTCAACCTTACGAGTAGCTGTTCACGAGTTTCCAGCACATTAACACACATTTCATCCAACCTTTGGAAGTATCTGACAATCAATAGGAGACCATGCCAGACAAGTATGAAAGGTAGCCGAAGTAAAGAAATTCCTCAGATATCACTGCAAAAAAACCTAAAGCACATGCTTCTAGTCAAAACGCTTCTGGTTCGGACCGAAAGTTTATTTGAATGCTAGAGCCGTAATCCACTAACCTCGGTCGACCGATCACATAATATCCACAGGCATCTACTCCACCAATTTGCTAAAAACCTGACGGTCTTGATTAAGCTTATATCCATGGCTTCTGTAAAACCCTTACCCATCGATTACTCGTCGCAATGCCATTCTCTTCTGTGGACTCTAAATGGGAACAAAGTATGAATATGGAATCACCTGTTGCCTATTCTACTACAGAAATGTCAGAGCTTTCTAGTTGGACTTTACCTACTATCACGCACAGAACTTCCTACACATTGTTGTTAAAAAATGTCATCTTCCCGTTGGGCAACTCGGAGACTGCGGCAGTGTTAGCTCAACTGTGGAACGACATTTTAATGAAGCTCGCACATGGTCGTAGGGATAGTAGTTGTAAATCTGAAAAAAGAGATGCTTCTGCGGGGCAGTGACGAAAGTTTTAGATTACATCAAAAATCTGCCTTTGCTGTGCTCGCTCAGCAACTAAAGGTGCAGGCCGAAGATCTCCCAGTTAAGCAGAAGAGCCACGGTTGATTGTCTGTAGGGCATTTATGACTCACCAGAATTTTCCAATTGTTCACTCCATTATTGCTCCGAAAATAAACTTTTTCAACCTAATGTGAACTTCAATGTAGGTCAGGACACAGACACCGTCGATGCTTGCGTGCCCGGCTTAGTACAAGGTGAAAACCTTAGCAGTAGGATTGTTTCTTTTTACAAATTACGGTTATCAGTGGGCTCGATTTTGCGCGGTCAGTCTGCGAAAAAGAGGAAAAAGAGAGAGATGGTGCGACGGGAAGGTCATTTATAACAACCTTCGGCAACAGTAATTTATGTAGTGCACCCCATTAATCCCTAGTCCCAGCATCTTATCCTACGAAAACGGTGCTTATAGGGTTTTATTGGTAGGGAATTGGGATAGGCATTGGAATATACTTTCATAACTGCTATATGCATTTTATTTTTTTGTATTTAGAAATGGTGTTGATTTATATCAGTAGATTTTCCCAATCTGCATTCTACTTTAACTTATTGCGGAAAAACCCGAATATCAAACTGCAGGTTTCTTGAAATTCCTGAAAAGTAATAATAGTTGTTAAAAGGTCGTCTACGTCCAACTTACCGTTCTGGAATTATATTAATATAGTCCGCAGCGCGAATCGCTGCGCACACCTAAAATTTACATGCGAAAAAAACTTACTCCAGGCGGCCGCGGGAAACAAATTGGACCACATTTTTTCACTTTACACTTACTGCTAAAAATGTCCTTCCCTGCCTATCCTATTTCCCCACCCCATAAACCCTATAACCACCGTTTCTGTAGGACAAAATGTTAGGACTATGGGGTATATAAGATGCACTACATAAACCACTTTTACCCAACTTTCTTCTCCCAGGTTGTCTACGGGGGCGTAATCTGCGCCGGTGGCAAATTTGGGTCATGTAGGCAGTTAATCTGCGCGCAGGAAAACGGATTTTGTGCCCTTTAGATCCCCAAATCCGACATTACAGGGAGATGCCACTGTATTGGCCTTTAGCTGTCCGACCGTACTGCATAAACCACCTGTTGGGTTCCGTACGCTGACTGGTGCCCGCTAGATGAGAGATGATGGACCATTTGTCACCACGCTTACTGTTCCCTTTCGAAGTGATGCTGTTGGCTGCTTTCCTGTCTTTTTGTACATGCGTCGATTTGTCAACTCTATGTTACTCGTGTCGGTCCAGCGCTTTGTGGAACGCGGAAAACTAAAGGTGATCTGTGCTGACAGGTTTTTCCCGTGTTAAAGACTTTAAATCCAGGTTGTGTCCTGAAAAAAAAACACTTGTATATCACTGGCTGGGAAGATGCTCTAGGGGTCTATCGTTTGCGTTTATTTTACTTACTTGCATACCTGCCGTAGACGGGCCTTTGTTATGCTTATATTGCTCTGACGAGAAATTATCCAAGCAAAATGCCCTCAGGTGGAATTTTCGAAAATATGTGCCAATAGCTAAAATGTTGTGTTGGATTTTTATTGCATCATCGGGTTCCCCAGGCCCTTCTTTTGGTAACTGTCAACTTCATTTGCACGAATGATTGTAAAGTTTATGTAAGGGTCGAGTTTTACGCCTAGTTAAAGTTGTGAGGGAATTTGTGAAAAATTCCCTTTTACAGTTATTTTTGTGCTGGACGTTAGAAAAACTTCACTATCTTCCACCACCATGATCCGCCCCCTATTCCTGTGGGTAGGGAGCTGAGTAGAGTTGATTCAGGGGCTTGAAATTTGTTAAACATTCCACAAAGAAAGTAGAAACGTTTCGCTGCCTGATTCGGGAATGATGTGTATGTAAGAACTTCAATTGTTTTTAAGTTGACCTGGACTACTCTTTAGCTCAATACGATGTTTCCTCGCCTGTGAGTTATAAAAATTAGCTGCTTTCATTTTTAGATTTAACCATCACCATTACAAAGAAGGAGACAGTTGACAGAAATGGAGATCGTTTCCAGCCTAACCTTCCAAAGACCCTTCACGAGCCCAGTGCAAGTCGCCCGCCTCTCACGGCCCCCTTTGGGCACTATACTGCTCACGTTCGTTTCTCCGGGAGTCGCGTGGGTCGTAGTAGCAAAGCGGCACCAACAGACATAACTACGTCTGGCCCACATATTGGGCCCAGGTTGCTGGGCGAAAATGAGAGTTTCAATCTCTATCACAACCATTCTGCTGACGATGGACGACTAAAACGCGTCCGTCGACAGCCCCCAGTCCGTGCACTCCCTCGCCAAGGCCTACTTGTCGTCATTGTCCAGTTCTCCGACGGAAGTATGCTGCCCTGGCACCGCATCATGGAGGTATGTCGGACAATTTTTACCATTCATTGCTCTTCCAGGAGGTATACCCTCTTGTGTCTATTAAGTCAAGAACGTTCTTCGAAAGCGTTGGAAAGCTATAGACTGGCCCCCACTTTAGCTTGCATCGTGAGGAATTGTAAATGGTTATGCTTTCATCAGTTCCCTATTGCAAACTGTAGAAACAAACAGTCACACTTTTGGCACCTTTTCCGCACCTATTTATCTAATCCTTCTTCCCTCATTGTGGTTATTCAAAAACGCAAGTGTAGTGCGTGTTTACGTTAACCTAAAAGCCATCAATTTTAGCCGAAATGCTTCATTATGCTCTTGTATGCGAGGTCTTCAGAATAATCAACACTTCCCCATTATATGGTCGAATTGTATATCAGCTCGTTATTAAATTGCCAGTTAGAGGGGTTACTGTTCCAGTCATTTAATTTGTTAAACGAGATGATTCATCGTACGAACTATAAGAAGACCTTGCTCTTGTTTTTAAAATGTGGGAGATAGAACTCACCAACCTTGAAGCACCGTCAGACGCACCCATTTCATGATTTCTAGCCTTATCGTATTAATCGAACTTTCATGTATTTTACCGCAGCTCTTCCTTAGCTTCTTTCAGCTGTAAGGGGGACAAGGAGGGACAAAGCTAAATTTTCCCTTCCGCCAAAGTAGTGTGAGACACATACTTCGCAGGCAAAGTCCTTTTAAGGTATTTGACAAGCAGGGCTTAAATGGCTGCCTAAACAGGACACGGAGATAGGAACGTCCCGCGCACCTAAAATAGGTGGCCTTGCGATAAATTTCACGATGGTTAAATATTCGCGTGTCTTAACCCCAAAACATAACCCTAATCTAAATCTAAACTATAACCCTAATCCTAGCCCTACCTCAAACCTTACCCCTACGGCTAACGCGAACCTTAACCTTTAACCTAATCCTGAACCTAACGCCAACTCTGACCTTAATCCCAATCTTAATGCTATTCCGAACCCTTACCTTGAGCATAAGTCTAGTCTGCCTGGAATTTGGCGCAAAGGCACGTGCATTGTGGGCAGAGCTTTCTTCTTCCCGCGTCCTGTTTAGACTGCCATGCGAATTCTGTTTAGCCTCTTT